AGGAACGAAGGTCATTGTGTGAACGAAGTTAAAAGATCGAGAGCCAGGCAATAAAGGACAACGAACGAACGAATCGACGAGTGTATAAACGGCAATAACCTGGAATAGATTGTTAGTAGATAAAGACAATGAATACATAAACATTAATATGTACAACAAACGAACGAATTAAACGAACGTATTAAGAATTGACAAACAATAAAGCGATAATACATTGGGAAAATACAATACAATATAAAATATGGAATGATTGGAACAATTCTTTGTATCAAATGAATGATGTTACAATGGAAGATCACAAAAATTCTTTTGGAAAGAACTTTGATCAATCTAATAACTTGGACAATCAGCTTCAATGGCTACTCCAGACCATGGTAAATGCGTTGACACAATCCAAAGATCTTCAAGAAGTGCTTGGTAAAATAAATTTGGTAGAAATTTCAACATTTAATGAAGGAAATCAAGACCCCGTGGAATGGTTAGAATCAATTACACAAGCCTTTGAAGCAAACAATATTCAAGGAATAAGATGGCTGGTAGTTGTAGATGCTTACCTGTTTGGTTCTGCTACGACATGATGGAAACTCAAAAAAACAGAATACAGTATTGGAATGATGAGATGATACAAGATCGAAGCTTTGTATATCAGTTTTGGCGTACCTTTTACATACCAGCCCTAATGAACCAATAGAATGTGAAATTGTTAGCCAGACAACAACAAATTGGTGAGAGAGTAGAACAGTATGCTATTGACATGATGGTCTTGTTTAAATGTGCAGCAATCACAGGGAACTCTTATTCAGAAATAACAAAGATTCAAATATTTGTAAAAGGTCTTTGTCCTGAATTAGTGTTGGCAATTAGACTCTTTATGTTTAATTCACTTTACAAAACCATTGATCAAGTTAGAAGGTGTGAAACAATGCTTGCACAAGAATTGGCCTTAATATATCAAGCCATAACAAATACAGTAGCCCCTGTACAAACAGCCCTGATGATCTTCTCTGTAAATTATCAAGTAACAGCTTCTATTTCGCAAGTATCTCAAACAATATATTTATCAAGCTCTAGAGCTACGACACCTATACCACCTATAACAAGAAACCAAGTAAAGCAAATAAAGAAAACAGAATTGCCATCGGAAGAAGTCTTACTAGTTACCTCTCAAAGCCAAGCTTTAATTGATCTTGAATATAGTAGTTCAGTTGGAATCAACCTTGTGGATAGTGCTCAAAATGTAGCTCGAGTTGAAAAAGATATGCATATAGCACCCGATAGTGCCACACATCAGTACCCGATTCATACAACTCCAATTATTGTTATCAAAATGGAATCAGCATTGAAAAGTATAAACCTAAGGCACCTATCAGTTATCAAAAAGCTATAAGGATAAATCACCCCGTTGGAATGAATGATCTAAGTTACAATTGCCAAAATGAAATAGAAATTAAAATAGAGTCTAGTGTGAAAGATCACAAATCGTGAAAAGGATTGTTAAGCCAAACTTATCTGCATTGCAAGCTTTCTCTATAAAAGTAAATAAAAAAAAATATTTGAACGTCATAATGAAGCCACAGAAATGATTGATGCTTATGAAAATGATAAGGACGATCGTTGTATTCGGGAATGTGAAAAAAATTAAGTATGATACATACAACTATTATCAAAGATTCGGCAAAAACAGGTACAAGTCATTTGGACGATATTTGCAATCCAAGAAAATTAGCAATTCAAAAAGACAATGCCGAATGAAGTCTTGCCGTAAGAATATGATTGAAGTTAAAAACAACAATATGAAATCGGTTGAAAACCAAAAATTGGTTGAAAGTTCGGTTTTAGAGGATTGTGTACAAAATGGAATAGATAATAAAAGGTCTGAAGAAAATGTTGGTAAGACAAATGATTTGGAATATGATGATGATGGAATTGAAATGACAAAGGACGATCGTAAAGCATTTGAAGAAAATGTAAAATGCGTTAAAAGTGAAAAATTGTTAGAAAATAAGTTTGAAGATGGTGAT